TACACAGTCTCCTTTAAACTTTAGCCACTCATGTTGAATAGGCACATCTATATGCATTTTTGGTCAGTTCTATCTCTGATATATCTCTCATGTACATAAACTGAAATTCAGTGGTACAGATGGACAAGTTGGAGAGCCATCAGAGACAATCATAAGAAGAACAACTCATAACTAGGCCTTTGCTAGGATATGTCCTGTGCCACAGTGAATGTTGGAACATAAAAAACCAGTACACCTCCCCCCCCCCCCAGATAGCCAGTGATCAAAAAGTAATCAGAAACATGTCTGTCCAAGAAAGAGGACAAATTTTCTCTGAAGAACCAAATGTTTAATCTGACATGAGACAGAGGCAGCTCACACACAGCCAAAAGCATGACGAAAAGACAGATGTCCCTGTACTGCACTGAAAAGGAAGACATGGACAACTAGGTATCTATTTTTAGAAACTTCCTGGGATGCTCTGTAAGGTCTAGAAGGCTGTAATCCCTCATGTAGAGTAAGCTCTCACCTGAGCCATGGGAATGGTTCCCAAACTCTTAAGAGCTTATATGGGGTGGGCAATCTCTTGGCAAGAGCCTGCTGTCTTCAACCCAGAGACTGTTGAGGAAGCTTAGGAGTATGGGGGAAGTGGACTTTGCACTTCAAGAATGACTGCAAGCTGCCATTCCCTGCCTTTCTAGCAAATGTCGCGACTTCCATCTGAGTACATCCGTGCACAATGGAGTCACCTGGCCTTGAAAATCCCACAGCCTTCTGGGGCACATAAGCTAGGTGGCAGGTGGCCTCCAGAGAGGGCATTCTTTTTTCGTTTGCCCCTTCAGGATGCCATGAGGAGCATACCTCTTTATTTTCTCCTTGATTTGTACCTCCTAATGTGGATATATGCCTGGGATTATGCCTGGGTGGGAGGCTGTGAGGCCAAGTGGGGTGACTATGATGGACCCAATCAATGTAGTGACAAGTAGAAGGAGATATAACATGGGGTGGAGGACTGGCCAGGTAAGGGAAACATGTCCCAGACACCTATGCTGTCTTATGGTCCTCCTTGCACTTTGCAGATTTGATGGTCGCCAAGTCTAGATGTTGCTTGCAAATGCCAAATTGGTGCAGAATACAACTTCCCTCATCCATGATTTAATAGTGGATGAGGCAGATGATCTAGCACGGATTACTGAGACCTCAGTGGTTGAAAAGGGAGAAGTTTGTCTCTCTCAGCTGTACCAAGAAAGGTATTTGGTTCACCTTTTCTCAAGGTGACCTGTTCAACTGCTAGTTTGTACCCTGTGTCTGCTAGTGGGATGGATTAAGGATTCTGTTGGTATAATGCCTGCTCTGCAATCTATCATTCTCTGTACCTGATTTGATAGTGGTGGTCTCAGATGTGATGTCGAGGTCCCTCAGCCTGTTCTGAGGGATTTCAACATTCATTCTGAAGGCAGTCTATCTGGGGCAGATCATGGTTTCATGATCATCATCCCAACTCAGGTAGTGGCCATATTCTAGATTTGGACTGTTTGGCCAGATATGAAAATGGTGCACTGAATGTTGGGGGGGGGTGCGGGGGGACTTTGTCATGGTCCATTCACCACCTGCTGAGATTTAGGCAAACACTGAATCCATATTATTTCCATAAGTGCCTGGGGTTGCTTTCTGGTTGATATGGCTGGTAGACCTGTCAAAGCCCCGATCAAGCTGTGGAATACAAAAATGACTTGAGTGGTCCACATGATTGCTCCTAAATACCCTCTTTAATGTAAAGCTCATATAGCTCCCTAGTGTACTTGGAGCTGAGAGGGATCAAACAACATCTGATTCTGGTTTTTCATTGAGAATGCTGTGGACATATCTTGACTTCAAGCAAAGATTTTGACAAAGTGCTTTGTGTTATCCTGATTAGCAAACTAGCTAAAAGTAGGTTAGATGGAGCAATGATCATGTGGACCCACAGCTGGCTACAGAATCAGACTCAAAGAGTGCTCTTCAGTGGCACCTTCTCATACTGGGAGAGGTAGCAAGTGGAGCCTCACAGGGTTCAGTCCTGGGCCCTGTTTTCTTCAAAAATTTTTACTAATTATTGGATGAGGAAATGTAGGGAAAGCTTACAGAGCTGGAGATGACACAGATCTGGGTGGAATAGCTAATAACCTGGAAGACAGAAACAAAATTTGAAGTGATCTTGGTAACACGGATCTGAAAACGTCAGAGTGAAATTCGATAGGGGCAAATGCCAAGCTCTGTGCCTGTAAAAAGCACTCCTATTATTAAGCTTGTACTGTCTTCCATAGTCCCTTGAATATAACAATATAAATAACTGTCATGAATGTGAAAGCTGTGGAAATGTTAGATTTGCATTTTGTAGTAGTCTAAACTCTCCTTTACAGGCATGTTTATAGCTCTTAGGCTGTGGCTCTTGTTTCCTTTGCCAGATGGTTAGATCAATAACATTGTAAATTATACTAAAAGACAGCCATCCTTCCTTCCATTTCTATTTTGTCTATGTCAAGAACTTTATTATTCACTGAAACACTTCAAACAAAAACTGGTGACTGATTCTGTCTCATGTGGATCTGACATCCACACTAGGTTATTAGAGTGACATAAGCTTATTTGACTGTGGTATCTAGTTTGTTTGTGTTGAATCACTATTTTCAGGGACAGAAATTGCTTTGATCATGTGTGTCTGGATGGTGATGGCTACGATTTGATCTTCAATATGACTATTAAGTCAATGGATCCTTCTAGCTATATATTAGGCCTTGTATCAAAACATCCAATATATCTTTAGCTGGGTCACTGTACTTAAACAGAATCTTCTACAAATTAACTCCTTTGTCATGGTCAGATCACTTCCTCATGAGGTTTGAGCTGATCTCTCCCTCCAGAAGGTTGCATATTAAGATGGTCCACCCCTGGAGTCTTATGGATCCAGATGGATTCCTGATGGCTCTGGGGGCTTTCCCGGTAGGTAGAGCTGGCGCTCCTGTTGATGCCCTGGTCGATTTGTGGAATGGGGAAATGACTAGGGCAATCAACACAATCACTCCTAAGCGTCCTTTCCTGTCTAGCAGAGCCTGCTCAGCACCATGGTATACGCCTGAATTGTGGGTGATGAAGCAGGCTAGGAGACGATTAGAGTGCAGGCAGAGAAAATCATGGGACGAATCTGACCGAACACACTTACGTGCTCACTATTGAGCCTATGCTGTGGCAGTGAGGGCAGCGAAGAGGCAGTTCTTCTCCACTTCCATTGCCTCCTCACAGTGCCATCCAGCGTAGCTTTTTCGAGTGGTGCATGGCCTTACACACACTGGCCAAAATAAAGATGTGGTGACACCCTCAGCAGCCCTCTGTGATGACTTTCAAGGAGAAAATTGCTCAGATTCGCCACGAGCTGGACTCCACTGTTGATCCGATTCCAGAATGGAAGGTATCCAGAGTGCCATCTGGTCCATCATTGTTGGATGAGTTCCAGTTATTGTGGCCTGAGGAAATGGACAAGATGCTTGGGATGGTACGCCCAGCCACCTGTTTACTCAACCCTTGCCCTTCCTGGCTACTTATGAAAGCCAGTCACGGAATTGGTCCCTGGGTCCAGGAGGTTATTAACGCTTCCCTGAAGCAGAGCTGGGTCCCTGCCCCTTTAAGGGAGGTGGTGATCAGACCCATCCTGAAGAAGGCACCCTTGGACCTAGAGGTGGCTGCCAGTTATAGACCGGTGGCCAGCATCCCATTTTTGGGCAAGGTGTTGGACTGGGTGGTGGCAGGACAACTCCAAGCACTCTTGGATGAAATGGATTATCTGGGCCCATGGGTACAGTGCTGAATCTGCCTTGATCGCCCTGAACAATGACCTGTGCAGGGAGAGGGACAGGGAAAGTGCATCCCTGTTGGTTCTCCTGGACCTTTCTGCGGCTATTGATACGATCGACCATGGTATCCTTCTGGAAAGGCTGGCCATGTTGAGAGTTGGCGGCTTTGCATGGCAGTGGTTCCACTTCTGTCTGGCCGGTCAATTCCAGAAGGTGGTGCTGGGGCACTAGAGCTCTGCGCCATGGCAGCTTTGCCATGGAGTACCACAGGGCTCTATTTTGTCCCCATGCTCTTTAACATCTACATGAAACCGCTGGGAGAGGTCATCAGGAGGACTGGGTTGCAGACTCATCAGTACGCTGATGACACCCAGCTCTACCTCTCATTTACATCTAATTCAGATGAGGCAGTGGCTGTCCTGAATTAGTGCCTGGATGAGGTAATGGCCTGGATGAGGGCCAATAATCTGAGACTCAATCCGAATAAAATGGAGGTCCTTTTGGTGGGTGGTTCAGGTTTTCAGGTAAGTGATTTTGGTCCTGTCCTGGATAGGGTTGTTCTCCCTCTAAAGGACAGGGTCCGCAGCCTAGGAGTGCTCCTCAACCCGGAGCTGTTTCTGCAGGCCCAGGTGATGGCAGGGGCAAGGAGCACCTTCCTTCAGCTGACCCAACAGCTGCGTACTTACCTGGACAAGCACTGCCTAGCAACAGTGACACATGACTGATAACTTCCTGGTTGGATTATTGTAACACGCTCTATGTGGGGCTGCCTTTAAAACATCTGGATGCTTCAGTTGGTACAAAATAGAGCTGCCAGGTTGCTGACAGGGGCCGGCCGTTATTCTCATATAATACCAGTCCTCTGTCAGCTTCACTGGCTCCCAATTGAAGTCTGAGCCCAATTCAAGGTGCTGGTTATGACCTATAAAGCCCTGAAAGGCTTGGGACCAGGATACCTGAAGGAACGTCTCTTTCCCTACATGCCCTCACACCCCTTAAGATCAGTGGGGGAGGCCTTGCTCTGGGAACCCTCTCTGAAGTAGGTATGGAAGGTATCTACCTGGAGGAGGGTCTTCTCTGTGGTGGCGTCCAGATTATGGAATACGCTCCCCAGAGAGGTCTGCCTGTTATCGATGCTCTACTTTTTCTGGTGCCAGGTAAAGACCTTTTTATTTAGCCATCATTTTAATAAATTAATAATTTTAATTAAAAATAATAACATAGTCGCATTTTCTTTTTCTCCTTTTTCTTTCTTTCCTCTCTTTCCTTTAGTTTTGAACTGTTGTTATTATTGAAGGTTTTAATTGTATTTTATATTATTATTTAACCTTTTGTAAGCTATCCTGAGGCTTCTGCAAAGGATGGGATAAAAATGTTTTAAGTTTGTACATGTATTATAGATCTGACATCTTAGACCCGTTTTAATTAAACAGGACATACGTATACATGAATCTTTCCCTCTGCTAAATTTCTGACTCTTGTTAATTGCTGATGTTTTTAGCTGATATTTTATAAGATTTACAGAATGCAGAAACTATTTTTTAATCAGGATTTAATAGCCAGATCTACCTGCAAAGTGAACATAAGCTTTTGCGGCACTAGTGTGTTGAAAATCAAAACATGATTTTATTTACTTTTTTAGAATAATTCTTGGCTCTTTTACTGTAGGGGCAGGACCTCTACCAAGGTAGTATACAACAATAAAATAGTAAAACCTAGTGCCAGAAGAAAAGCAATAAAAATATCAGCACAATGAAACTCACAAATAACAACAAATATGATCAAAAACAGTAAACACAGTAAAAACAGCCACAGCAGCAAACATCCTAAAAAACAGTAAATGCCAGCCTAAAAATAAAACCTGCACATAGCAACAACTATAGTAAAGTATTATTTTTATTATTACATTGCATTTATATCCTACCTTTTTCCTCTTGTGATGAACCCAAGGAAGCTTAGATAAATCTAGTTTATCCTTATAACAACAACCGTGTGACGTAGATTGGGCTGAGAGTGAATGGCTGGCCCAAAGTCTCAGCCAGTTTCATGGATGAATGGAAACCAGAAGCCAGCTCTCCCAGGTTCCCAGTCCAGCATAATGACCACACTCTCTCTAATAGGTTCTCAGGGTATCCAAAATACTTGCCGCAATAAACTCAGTGGATCTCCAAAGACAATTTATTCCAGAGGTGTGGGTTCTGTGCAAAAATGCTTTGCCTTTTGTTCTCACTCACCTCACTGTCCTCACAGCTGGGCAAATGAGAAGGACCTCTCTTGCTTGGTTGCAGACAGGATGATGGAGGAGAAAATAGATATTTGGGCCATTGGTTCCCAACCATTTGAGGCTTTACTAGTTAAAAGCAGCATGTTAAATTGGGCTCCAGAACACATCTGGCGCTAGTACAGCTGCCTCAGGATTCGTGTTACATGATTGGAATGCCTTGCCTCCACTGAAAATTGGGTGCCCACATTCTGCAGTTTCCAGATCATTTTCAAAGGAAACTCCATGTGCAGTGCATTACAATAGTCCATTCTGGACTTCACTAGTACACTGATAACTGAGATAAGACCTGTCATCTCCAGATGGAGCCACAGCTGGAACAGCAGCCTGAGCTGGTAAAACACATTTGTGCACGCTACAGTCACTGGGACTTCCCTAGTTAGTGCAGAGTCCAGGAAAATGCCTGGAGGGTGCACTTGGTCTTTCAGAGAGAAAGCTGCCCCATCCAGGACCACATTTATAAACCTCCATCCAGAGCAGCTAGCTTCCCAACCCATAGTACATCTATCTTGTCTAGATGAAAGGTTAACTAATCTACTACAAAACTGTTTCAAGACATTGGTTCAAGGTGTTCAGTATCCTCCTTGTGATGTGTAGATGGAAAAAAGAGGTAGAGTTGAATATCATCTATGTACTGATGACGTGCAAGCCCAAACCTTCTGATGACTTCTCTAGGCTGTTCCTTCTAGATGTGGAAATACATGGGGGACAGGATGGAACCTTGTGGCATTTCATAGGCTAATGGCCATGGGATGGAACAAAAGTCACCCAGCACTATCTTCTGGGACTTCTCTTCCAGGAAGGACTGGAACTACTTTAAAACTGTGCTTCTCAAGCCTAACTCAGGTAAATGATCCAGAAGGATATTATGAACCTTTCAGCTACTGTTACTTCCTGGTGTAGCAGGCTCTCCTAAACAAAGGGCTGATGATGCATTAATACCCAGGTCTCCTGAAGCTAACCACCTGGAGGTTGAGTAGGGCCTGCTAGGCAGGTGATTCAGGGTAGCTTTCACCCTTCTTGCCTCCAGAACTTCTACTAACAGTTCCTCTTGGCATGCATTTATCAACTGGTACCAGGGTACAAGCAGAGACCTACTGGCACTTGAACTTTTAAATCCATTTTATTTTGTGCTGCTTTTATCGTAAAACTGTCCAGAGATGCTTGTAGTGGATGGTGTATAAAAGCTATCAATCAGTCAGTCAATCAATCTTGTTGAAATTCTGTGAGAATTAAGATCAACATCATGAGGGCACAGATCTCGGACCTGGGATTAATCCTAGGGTATTCAGATAGGGGTTTCATAGGGACTGTCCCCCATGTCAAGAGCCACTTACCTGCTTAAAGCATCTCTGGTCCAGAGGTTCCTCACCTAGAACTTGCATGTGGTGCTGAGCTCATTAACAAAGGCTCCCTTTGAACTTCAGGGGACCATCTATAAGGTCCTAAACCTGAATATCATCTTTCAAGGAGCGATTCCCTTCATAATGAGAGTGCCCAAGTTAGTGGCTCTGTCCACTGAAAGAAAAACAACGACGACTTTGTACTTCTTCAGAGACAAAGTAGTTCTGGTCCTAGATCTCTCCTTCTTTTCCAGAGTTAACATGGTCTTCCATAGGACTAATATTTCATTCCTTCTGTTTGTACTTCTCAAGGAAGAGAATGACTCACCTTGGATACTAGGTGGGTGGTCAAGTTGTTTCTGGGGAGAATCAGGCCACACAGAAAGCATAACACCCTGTCCATCTTCTATGGACAACAAAGTATCCATATCTTACCTAGCTCCACTGGCTTCATGAGTATGTTGTGCTGAACCTGGTTTGCTCCACAGCAGGTGCCTTCAGCTGGTTCATGTTCTGCAGAGTGTTAGCTAGAGATGGAGTTGTTGAAGGATCTGTTGGCCCAAGGCCAGGATCCTGTACTCAAGGGGAAAAACAGAAATTGTTTACTCATTGGTGAGTTTCTGTCCTCCTTGTTTGAAGGACAGCTAGACTTGCCCTCGGCTGGCCTATTTTCTAGGCAATAATCAGACAAGTAGGGTTCACCATCTTGCTTCAAAGCCTGAGCTTTACACAAAGAGTTCAATAGGTTGTGAGTGTGAAGAGCAATTCAGTGGCTTCTGACACGAACAGATTAATTGGAAGAATCAGCTAGGGTGAGGCCTTGTATTCTCAAGCAAAGTCAAAATAGAGACTGCCTTCTGGCTGAGAGGTAAGGCCTTCCCCAAGCAAGCTAGCGTCATTCATTTAAGGAAAGCAGAAATTCAGTGGCAAGTAAAGAATTCCAGTTTCTTTTATGGAAGCCTTTATCTTAATTGCAGATACAGACACAAGGTTTAAGCCAATAATGTCATGAAATCTGGTCCATTATTGTGTCTATGTGGGGGCAGGTTTTTGATAAAAAGAAGAGACATAACCCACTGTCTTTTAAAATTGAATTTAATAAAATAAATCCACTTTACAAACTTCATAAAATGCTGTGAGGCTGCTCTATGTATAATGATGTCATTATGTCTCCCAGGCATAGGTTAGCTTTTTGGTTGTTTCACATTGCAAATCATTCTGACAGATTCATGTCGCATTTTTCCTATTAGAAATTAGTTAAATCTAAATCAGAATTGCTTGTTCAAATCTTTGGCAGTTCTCCCATGTGGCACTGATTCTGTTCAAGGCCAGATTAAATAGGTGGGAATCATCGTCTCCAGAAAAAGGTTTAGCCCTGCCACTTTAACTTGTGCGCAGACGATCTGCTTAAGTTTCATTTCTCACACTTCATGTGAAAGTTTTCATTTTTCAAGTCACATGTTATATATTTAAGTCTACGCGTAAAAGCCTTCTTCTCTTCTGGGCTTGAATCCACAACTGCAGCTTTGCTACTGTAAGGAGGTGGGGGGCAGATCTTTAGTGGATTGCCTTCTGTTATATGCCTCTATTCTAGAAGGTCCTCAGTGAGATCTTAGAGAGGCTTTTGGAACTTGAGGGGAAACAGGAGAGCCCTGTTCACAGAATTGAAATGAGAATTCAAGTGACACAGTCCGTTCCTTTATATATACCTACAGACCTCAGGCTGCCAGCTAGTTCTCCAATGAACATAGTGTGGCTTTTAAACAGATGGGTCTAGTGGCTGTGTCAATGTATAACCTAGTTCCCCTCTGGTCTGAAGAGGGGTGCAAGAGGATAGAGACATGAAGCATTAGCAGAACTCTTATTTGTCACATTAAGACTAGGGGGTTACTTTCTTAGATAGGAAGAGTTTGTGAGAAGGATTACTTCTTTCTGTGGTCATTATGTCATTGACTTTGAAGGAAATGTGGCTTGCAAAATCAGGCCTGGTACCATCCTTGCTTTGCCCTCAGGAGAACATCTGTGTATGGTTCATACTTGAGATTTGAGTTCTTAAGATGAGGGTGGCAGCAAAGGATACATTGGATAGTGGACATCTGTATACATTTGGTTGGTTCCAGAGAAAATGGTGTGGGCACAAGCTGATTTCTGTCAGGCAATCCCTACTTCCAGCCTCCTGAAATGTCTTCTCCTGAGGCTAGGGAACTCCAATGAATGAAGTAGGCTGTGGCACAGGGAATGAACATAGCAGAGACAGTGAGACAGCCTTGGAAATGGAATCCAGAGCAGAAAATGCTTAGTCCATTAGTAGTAGTAGTATATCACCACCACCACCATATTTATATTCTGCCCTTTTTCCTCTTGTGAGGAATCCAAGGCATATGGTCCTCCTCCACTTCAATTTCTCCTAACCCTGTGAGTTGGGTTAAGCTGAGAGTGAGTGACTGGCCTCAGGTGACCCAGTGAGCTTCATGACTGAATGGGAACGAGAACCTGGATCTTTCAGATTCCCAGCCCAACACTCTAACCACCACACCACACTGGCTCTCATTACCATTTAGCATCAGAATAACTGCATGTGCATGGCTGATGTGTCACCATTCATCTTGTCATTACTTATTTCTGTTCACCAGGTTGAAATATTTTGAGGAAGGAGCATTGCTTCTCTCACCATTCCAGAATCTAAATTGGTAGGGCAGATGGAGTGATGTATTTCTGTACTGTCAGACTGCTTCTGGGAAGGGGAAGCTCTCTGTCTAGCAGGTTTTGGCCATTCATTTCATGGTACTCTGTCCAGGTTTCCACAAGCAATCTGCCCTGCACCTGCTCCCCAGTAGCAACAGCTTCAGTACCACCCAGTAGCTGAAGCTCTGTGGGCAATTCATAATTATTTCAATGCGAGGATGGAGAAGCTGTGCAGAGGACAGGAAGTAGAATAGACACTGAGAAGATGAACAAGAGACAAGAAAAGGTGTGTGCCAAGTTTGTGGGGGGAAACTGGAAATAGGGGTACAAAGCTGGGAAGTGGCTAAGTGAGATGGGGCTGTAACAAATACTAAGTGTACACTTTTAGTAAAGCGGAAAAGTAGGAAAATAGGTGTTTGGTTAATGTTCTCATAAATATCACTAAGATGAATTATATTTAGTAGTACTTGCTGCTTTTGTTTCTATTGTCATTTAAGTCCAATGCTTTGGCTTAGCTTATTTTATGGGGACTATCTTTCATGAATGTGCACTGATATTTTATGCAGGGATCTCAGCAAAGCAAGTAGAAGCTTGCTGTTGAAAGAGAAAGGCAGTTGTGAAGATGGTTACTGGCAAGAACTATCCCACAGCCCTGAGTATTCATATCACTAAACCAGTCCTCCAGCTGCTGCTTGCTACATCGGATGGTGTTTTTGGGATTGCAAGCCCCTCCTCGTGTTCTGAATAGTTAATCCATCTGTCTGAGAATAATTGCTTTGCTGATTGAGTGGATGGTGAGGCCTTTATTTTAACTCACCTAATGAGCATTTGGTGCATTGGTAGCATGCCTCACTTGTGCATTGAGATAGCAGAATAAAGTTTAGTGTGTGTGTTCAAGTCACAATTTTACATGTCAGTGCAAATACTGGCTTAGCAGAATTGTTGGTAAAGGGCATGATACTTGCTTTATTGTTTGTTTATTTAGAGTATTTACTGCTTTTAACCAAAAAATTCTAAATAGTGAAAAGTAATTTATAAACATCTTATGCTAAGCTTGGTTCCCTTACCAATAGAGGTGAAGTTTCATATATAGATCTTCTAGTTTTGAAAAGTAGAACAGTCCTTCCCCCTCCCATGCCTGATACCTAACTTTGTTTCTGGCTGCCTTGGTGAGGAACCTCTTTCTGGAACCATCTGTTTTCCCGCCCCTCACCTCGTAAGACCTACTCTGTAAGCCAGCCTGCTCTCCTTAACTGTATTGATAGGTACTGCTTGTCACAGTGCAGCGTTCTTTTTGTTGTTGTTGTGCAGTGGCTTCATTTTTCCTTACATCTGTACACAATCCCAAGAAAAAGATAGTGTATTGTACAAACCCAGTTTAGAGTGCTGTCGGCAGGGGCAGTTTGTGCTTGAGGCCCTCTGTGGTACTGCTAAACCATGGTTTAATATTATACCTCAAGACAGCCATAAAAACACAATGGCTCTGATAAATTTTCAGAATTTGGAGGACACTCTGTGAGTGTCTCCTGTGTACACAAACTATAAAAGCAAGTACTAAACTCAGGACTGGTTCACACACAACACAGTTTTTAAGCCCTGGATTGTCATGAGTGAGCTGATGTGCTTGTCTTTGCTGTTAATTTTTTCCACGTGTCTTCTTCTCCAGGTGCTTGATTGCCTCATTCTGGTATTGTTCACTGTGATGTCTGTACCCAGAATTCTGGATTTTCTCTCCCCTGATAAGCCAAAATTGATAGCAACAAGTGACCCAACTGATTCATTTTTAAATTTAAATTTAAGGCATCTTATGTTTGCATTCCTGACAGTCTTTGAAAGCAGTATTAGAACTGTCTTCAGTCAGAGTGTGGTATCTAGCAAGGGCACCCAGCTGCTTTGGAGCATATTTTTGTGGCGGTGGTGAGAAAGCATGGGGCTCCTCAACAAGTAGGGAGAAGCTGCTTTGTTGTCTGATGGCCACCATTGCATATATCCCATTAAGTTCCAAGTGTGGGCTTGAGATGGCAGTGAAGCTACTGCAATAAGAATGTATGTATTTATAAGAATGTATGTATATATGTATACATATATACAAGAGAAGTTAAGTTATAAATGAATGCTGAAGAATTTTAAATTCACATTCCCTTATGGATTAATTCATGTATGAAATCTACTTGAAAAGGTCTTTACTGGCAGTATCTCATCCCTGCTTTCATGCTGTGACATTTTCTCTGAATAAGCCTGACTTTGTGCTGATATTCTGATATTTAGAAGTAGTGAACATGTTGCATAATAAACAACCATGTGCGGACATTTAATTTTCTTTAGATAATGTCTATGTGAAATGCTTAGGAAGCAGTGGTAGTAACAGATTTATGCATAATGTGCTGGAACATGTTTATTTATGGAGAGTTCTTAATCCTAGTCTAAAACATACTGCAATTTTATGTGTAAATAACCTTTTCATAATATTTTAGAGACTTCCTCTCCAAATCATAAATACATTCAGTTGTGTTCCAAAACTATTCTTTTCAGCATGTATTAATGTAAGGAATAGAAGAGTTTCTTTATTTTTTGCACATGTGTGAATTTCTCTTGACAGTTACTTTAAGGTCAGTTGTCATAGATTGTCTTTGAACTGTGTACCTTTCCTTTGCTGTTGCATTGATATCTGATTAAATTGATTTCAGAGATCCATGAAAAGAGCAGAGAGGACAATAATTAAAAAGGAATTGAAGCCATACTGGCCAATACCAGATATAATATTGCTGAATATGAAACAGTACCATTCTTGAAGTTTTTTCCCACTTTTAGCAATACTTACCTTCCATTGCTAAGCACTTAATGGCAGATCAATTCTTGTACTCTCATACTTGTAATGAGTTTCTTTTGTGGACTATAACATTTAAAAAGTTGTTCCACCTGATTTTACATAAGTGACTTTATTTGGTTTGCTAAACAGTGCAAAACCTGTTTATAGGGAAGAAGCAGGTACAAGAAGTATCTCTGAGCAAGGAGTCTAATACTAATGCTGCATATTTCAGAGTAAATGTACTGCAGGCTGGTACACAGAATCAGATATTACCTTGAGGCTCCTTCTTTCAGTCATCTACCCTACCTAATCTTATGAATGAAACGTGAACCATCTGCTTGACAGATGGCATAGGCAGGCAGGTAACCAAAGGAATTGTGTGTTTTTCTTGCAGATAAAGTTGTGCTTACCATATGTACTTTGTTTACCAAGTGTTAGTGGAGTCTTTAAAGAAAAGGCTTTGTACCATCTGGATTAGCGAGTCATAACTGGGAGCAAGGCAGCTAAGTCTGTACAAAGTGCTTTTCCTCAAACTGCTGTTTACTGGATCATTTATGACTAATTAATGGAATGACTAATTTATATTGCTCAATAATGGGTGGAACCCTGAATGTACAAACACAGATGTGAATTTCTCCCATTTCCCTTGTTTGCTCCTTTGTTGTTTAATCTACAAAAGAATCAAATTGTTTTGATTGATCAATTTTAAAAACTGACTCAAAGTCTCTCAAATTTATTTATTTATTATTTATTAAAAGCTTTTGTATGCCGTCCTGTTATACAAGATCTCAGGATGGCTTGCAATATTTAAAAAGACAATTAAAACAACAATTTCAATAAATAAAACAGAACAAAACAATAAATCACAAAACAAACAGAGTGACTAAACTTAAAAACTATTAAATGTGAACTAACTAGTTACTAGAACTGGACAATATAGATATTATATAATTCTGTTAAAGTTTTTAAACCTGATCTTGCATTTTTACTGCATTGCACAGGACAATTGACCTTATTTTAACATTTCTGCTTTGTTTTTTTGTTTTATCTTCTCTGCAGTTAGGTATATAAACACATGTGAAAATTTGGAAGAACTTAGCCTAGATTAAGGTGAATGCAGAACTATTTAAATCTATGTTTTAATGTAAGCCTTAACCAATAACTCCACTTTAAAAAATCCAAAGAAAAGGAGATTCTTTTTTGCTTCCAGACAGGTGCAAAGCTGCAGTAAGTCTAGTTTTGTCCAAAAAGCAAAACAAAACAAAAGTTGTAGGGCAGTTGGGAGGTTTAGCTGTGAGAAGACTCTCACAGTACGTATGTAGAATACTGTATATATAGACCTGTTCTGCTTTTCAAAATCAGCACATTTCACAACAGGCATTCAGACACCATCAGGGTAGTATGTGTGCACGGGAGGGTACATTTTACATTAATGATGCTTCTCAGTGATTACAAAGCCAGCTCATTGTGGTGGAACACCATTCTCTCCGGGAATTCTAATTCCTACTAGAGCTTTGGAGTCATTCTGACCACACAAGTCTTTTAATGCATTGTCCGGCACTGCCACCCTTATCCGTGCCACTACCACCTGTTTCTGTTGAGAAGTGTAGGAGTTGTGGGTGAGCTTTCTAGAGGGTGGTGCTGCACACCTGTACCCTACATCCTGTGTACAGGATTCTGCTTTACCTCTTGAACAGCAATGTTGGTGTATGCCAATCAGCTTTGGCATATGATTGAATTTAGAAGCTATCTACTGAAGATGCTTTGTTGATATTTTTTTATTATTGCTAACCCAGGCATTATCCATGGAAAGGTAGGATATTAATATTCAAAATCAAATAGAAGGAAATATTTAATATTAAATCATTGCTATATCTACATGTGGAACAGAGTCATAGCTGTGTGCTATATTCTATTCCTCATAGCAGCTACCAGCAGCTGTCTGCCCCCATCACCAACCATCTGTTTGGCCAATAAATATACATTGATCCTCTCATTAACCTGAGTGCATTCATTGCACAGTTGTACATTAAAATTGACAGGTAGAAAATAAGTTATATTAAGGACTTGTTTTAATCAGTAGTGTCAACTTCCCCTTGACCACTCTCACCCACTCTTTTTTCCTGGTTGAAATCCCATTTGCTTTCCCACTGAGATCAACAGCAAAATGCATAAGAACCCAATACCCTTTAGTTTCTGCCACTTGACTCATTAAGTATGATTATTCAGTATTCTTGTGGTTTCTTTGAGGTTGCTTGCTTTACATTGTGTGTGTTAGCTGAGCAAATGAGGGAAAGGGGGATTCGTTTCAGCATCTCATGTGGCTTACCCCACAGTGTGATGAGAGCAGTGACTGATGCTGAAAACTGGAGTCAGTCAGGTAGCACTCTTTTTTTGTATGAAGCATCTGGTTTGGGAAACTGAAGGAATCCCACTTTTCAGACAGATTAGTTGACTATGCAAGCTAAGATTCCACATACTGAGAAGCCTAAACATCCAGAAAAGTAATGTCAGTTGATAGTATTGAAAGGTTTAAAACCCCCAGTGACTGTACTGCATTTTTCATGTAGGAGACATAATTAATTTAGAATGTAGGTGATTTGCTTCTGCTCATGTAACTTGGCATGAACATGGTCCTGCGTCTTGGTTATCAAGTTATCACATTTTCTCTTTTCCCCTCTCTTTATCATGTTGTGAGGATTTAAACAACTGGTTGCTTTTCAGTTGTTGTACTCTTCTAGGGACAGACTCCAATTCTGATAAAAGGCTATGGTCATAACATAACAATGTTTTAAATAGTGTTTTAAAGCACTGGCTTTTACATAGATCTGTACTTGAAATCAATATGTCATAAAGGTGTTCTAGGCCATCTGTTGCTAAAAGAATGTTCCCAATGAGCCACCAGGTGTTTCAGCATGAATTTGTTCCAGATAAGTCCTGGTTTACTTAATAAACAATAACAGGTAGTAAAGGGGAGAAGAACAGAAAAGCCCAACACTTTCTGTTTTGTTAACAATTTTGAATAATATTCAGATCATCATTGCTTCTTTTTATGGCTCATCTGTCATTAAAGCAATTTTCTTTTCACTTTGAAAATTGAAGATGATGAGTAATGTTAAACAAAAGGAATCACAAATCATTAGTATAATGTATTGTGCAGTATATGATTTAATTTGGAGCAATAGATAGCCACCTGCTATACTTTTGTCTGAGCAGCAGTCTGGCAATAGAAGCTGAGCTGGTTTGGATCTCTCTTTATTTGGTGTGTCTTTGGAAATATCTGACTCAGCTGTGAACTACAGTGATGAAATGCTGGACTACTGGGTGTTTATAAAAATAAAACCATTTTTCTTGTTCTGCATAATCATAATGTGTTTAACATGTTATTGCAACATTTTAACTTTATTAAGAATTAGCTTTATCAAGAATTGTTATCTACATTGCTAAAAGAAAAAGAAAAGGGTTTTGTTACTGGTGGCAATTGTGATGATAAATATAGCTTGAGCTGCTTCCTGCTGTATTTTAAATGGGCGCTCAGATGGCGTCATCTGCACATTAGTTAGATGTATTATTTAAAAATATTATGTGAACAGCGAGGTAGCTGTGGTACTAGTGTTGAGGAAGCAGCCAGCATAGAAAAAAGTGGCAGACTAACATGCTCAGTGTGTCTGCTAGATCAAGATCCAAACATTTAGGTGAGGCGAGATGACCTTCCATCAACACAACTGAATGCTAAAATTAAATGCTATGAAAACTACCTGTGCCAATACCAATATTCCCACAAAAACGGCAACATTTTGAAAGGAGCCTGGAACATTATGGGAAACATTGTTGTCTTTAACAACTCAGATCATTCTCCTATTTAAATCTGAAGGGACCCATTTTAAGCCCTGTCTAGAAATGCAGGAAACTTTTCTGTGCAAACCATGCTTTCTGTCAATGACCTTCTGACCATCCAGTAAATACACTTTCGCAAGGTCTAGAAGTCGCTGTGTGATGCTTGGACATGTTGGAAAGGGGGAACCAACATTTTCTTTTACTTATCCCTTACTCTTTTTTATTATTATTCCATTTTCTTTGTAGCAGAAAAAGAACCATGATTTTTTTTTTCAAAAAGTAGTACTCCGTTTATATGACTGAATTAACACCAGTTCTACAAACCTTTACAGAAAATAATAATGTTTTATTTTAATATGTCAGAAATATTAGTTTGAATATTCTATGTAATTTTCAGTCCCCTTCTTTCTATTCCTTTCTTCTTGAAATCCGACAGTGTACGCCTATACAAATCTACTCAGAATTAAGTCATGTTGAGATCATGTAAATTGTGTAGGGTTGCAGCTATACTATGTTGACTTAATCAGATAAAATATATTCCAGGTAATCTTAACCCAATTATTTTCAGTTCTGGATTGTTCTTGTAGTCTCTATTTGTTCAGTTGTAGTTAAATTATCAGTAATATGCTCATGATTACTAAACGCCCAAACTCTGGTACAGAACCTAAAAGAAATCTTATAGAAGACATAGACAAGACATTTCAAATATAATAATTACAGTTATCTCCTTCCAAACCCTCTGAGTCATAAAGAAATGTTATCACAAATATTTGATTATCTGTTCTTATAACCCTACCTCCTTTTTTCTGTGTTGAACTTAATAGATATTGATTCAGTAATAATATGTGTTTTTAAAGTCAGTACACGGAAATCTTTTGCAGGTAGGAAAACAGATTTTTCAACATTACTTGAATGTACCTAGTTTTATATTATTTATTCTGTCAATATACTACCTAATATACAAAGATCTTGTCTAATGCGAGACAGAGCATTCTTTTCCTTCAGGTGACCATCTTCTTATTGCACCTAAAGAGAATCTCTTTGTGTGTGTTTATGTCTATGTTTTCTTTGCTCTTTTGTAGGTGGAATTGCAAACATGTAGGGTGCAGGGACAAGCACAGACTAAAAGTAGAGAATTACTATCTGGTAGTTTAATCACATTTGTAGAATTGGTTTTGCACATGCAAGCATGGAATACAGCATTACTGGGGCAATGCTTGGAAGTTGCCCACTAGGCATGTCCTTCCTATGGGCAAATTGGTACAATGGGCCTCCACTTATCTATATCCTTCCTTTGGACTGGAAGCGATGAGAACGATCATTCAAACATGTGACCTGATGGCAGTGTTGCACACTTTAACACTAGTCAATGTTTTTCACTTTTTCATTTTCTGGGTTGGGGTGAGGATGTGGATATTGACAACATTTAAATGAAATGGGTAACACCTTAAAAAAGTGTTGGCATAATAACATTTTAATATTAGACTGCTCTTCTGTTTCTGCTTCTGAATCAGCACCATCAGTTACAATGCAAAGTCACTCAAATATTACTTCATTGTTATCTTTTTGCTTCTTTTATTTACATGCTGTGCAGATACTGGTTTATTTGGGTGGCTTCAAATGCTTGCATATTGACAGTGTTAACAATGTACACAAAGCCAACATTTAAGCAAGGAGAAGATCAAGACACACGATGAGCAATGGGTCCAGAGAACTCCTGCCTGTCACAGGTTGCTTTTGTGGCCATCTTGCCACCAGTGCTTTGGTCCCTCAGAGCAAGCTCTTCAGGGGGAAGCAAGCAGCAGATGCTGAGGTGGTGGGAACAGAAGAGGAGGAAGAGGAGGACAGCAGCTGAGGTAGTGGTCATGGGAGGTCTTGTGGCAGCACTGGTTTCACAGCCTTCCCCATTGTGCCTTCCAGACACGTATGGACTGCAACAACCAGAATTCTCAGTCAGTGGCCCTGCTGGGTGTGAATTCTGGGAGTTGTGGTGCAAATTCCTCTGAAGGCCACCAGGTTGTGGAAGGCTGTGCTAGCACAATATTGCTAATGCTAGCAGAATGCTAAGTACTGGGTACATGGTTTTGAAATGGATTACCATCACACAAGAGCTAT